AAAACCCCCCAAAATCCCCCCAACATCCCCCCAAAATCCCCCCAAATCCCTCCCTGGGCTCCCCCAATTCTCCCCTGAACCCCGGTAACTCCCCTGGACCCCCAAAACCCCCCCCAGCTTCCCTCAAAGATTCCTGATCCCCCCCACAGCCCACCCTGAGACCCCCAGGGACCCCCCCCAAACACATCCCCACCACCCCTGGCCCCCCAAAACCCCTTTCTCCCCCCTTTTATGGGGGTGCTCATTCGGGGGGCTCCACACATTGGGGTTTGGGGGTTCCGGGGGGGTTGGGAAGAGTTTGGGGGTCCTGGGAGGGGTTTGGGGGTTCTCCAGGGAGGACTGGCAGCTCCCAGGGGGGTTTTGGGGTGCCCCCTCTGAATGTGGGGTGTTTTGGGGTGCCCCCTCTGGCAGCAGAGTGTTTTGGGGTGCCCCTCTGACAGCGGGGGGGTTTTGGGGTGCCCCTCTGACAGCGGGGGGTTTTGGGGTGCCCCCTCTGACAGCGGGGGGGTTTTGGGGTGCCCCTCTGACAGCGGGGGGGTTTTGGGGTGCAGGGGGGGAGAACGTCAAGGCCATCAACCAGCAGACAGGGGCGTTCGTGGAGATCTCGCGGCAGCTGCCCCCCAACGGGGACCCCAACTTCAAACTGTTCGTGATCCGGGGGACCCCCCAGCAGATCGACCACGCCAAGCAGCTCATCGAGGAGAAGATTGAGGTGAGGGCACCCCAAAAACATTCCTGGCACACCCCAAAACTCTGCCCCAAATCCCCAGGAGAGCCCCAAAGCCCTGGAGGGTCTCCGGGGAGCGCGGGCTGCCCCGAGCTCTGCCGGGGGACCCCAGATTCCTGCCGGGGGACCCCAGATTCCTGCCGGGGTCCCCCAAAGCCCCCCTGACCCCTCTTTTCCCCCCAGGGCCCGCTGTGCCCCGTCGGCCCCGGTCCCGGCCCCGGGGGTCCCCCCGGCCCTGCCGGCCCCATGGGCCCCTTCAACCCCGGACCCTTCAACCAGGGTCCCCCCGGAGCCCCCCCGCAGTGAGTACCGGCCTCTTTCGGGGGGTTCTCGGGGTTCCCCCCCCCCCAAATCCTGCCCCACTCACCCCCCCTCCTTTCCCACAGCCCGGGGGGGCCACCCCCCCACCAGTACCCCCCCCAGGGCTGGGGCAACACGTACCCCCAGTGGCAGCCGCCAGCCCCCCACGACCCCAGTGAGTACCGGGACCCCCGGGACCCCCCGGGACCCAGCGGGGGAGGCTGAGGGTTTGGGGGTCCTGATGGGGTTTGGGGGTCCTGCTGAGGGTTTGGGGGTCCTGATGGGGTTTGGGGGTCCTGATGGGGTTTGGGGGT